AAGAGGTTGGTATAGAAGTTCTTCGCGATAGATTCCATCTTGTATCGGGAAGAAGTCGGAGTCCCGTCTTCGTTCAATAGTGCAGCCAGCGGTACGTGATATTCACAGAGGTCCCTTCGGCATTTCTTAAGACTTCGTCTTCCTTCGGCTGCTTCCAGTATCTTGGCTTGCCTGTACTTCCTGAGATCCTCCTGCATAGCTGTTCTGCAACTGGCGTTGGCTATCAGTCGCTCGAGATGGGTTGCATTCGGATCCTGCCTCAGAAATCTTCTTCTTTCGAGCAATTCCTTGGTGGTCTTCGAAATACGCTCCAAGTTCTTCTCAGAAGTCAGTGAGGCACATTCTCCGCAGGCTCGCAATCCTTTCAGAAGCCGGTCGTAGTCGTACGTCGGGTCCTCCTCGATGGGCCAGTCACATCTTGATATGAGCTCCTCCGCCTGTTCCCGTCATAAACGACTTCCTTCCTTCTCGCGGCACTGTGACAGACTTTCTTTTCCAGCCTTCGGCTGAGTCGTATCTTCGCTCGAAGGAGGCGGTGATCGGAGCCACTGCAGAAGGATGGAACTACTGAGACATCGAGCAAGCTCCACCTTTGGTTGGTGAGAATGTGGTCGATCTCCGCGTGAGTCGTTCCGTTGGGCGATTCCCATGTCCACCGGCGATGTTCTTTCTTCATGAAGATGGAATTTCCATGGAAAAGTCGTGCGGCGGAGAGGAGCCCAGCGAGACGGTTGCCGTTTTCGTTCCGGAGCCCATATCCAAACTTCCCGATCCTATATTCCTTTTCTAGTGGCATCCCGATTTTCGCATTGAAGTCGCCCACAACATACTTGTAGAAGGACTTTTCGTTGCGGACGACCTCCTCCACGTCGTCGTAGAAAGCATCTAGTTCTGAGTCGTCAGCTGCTGATGTTGGAGAGTAGCAGCTGATGATGCTGATGGTCTTCTGACGTGGAGGGCGTAGTCGTAGGATGGCTAGTCGGAGTGATAGACGACAGACGTGTCGTTTTTGTCCAATCCAAAAGGCGCCCTGAGGACCCTGACATCAGTCTTGCTACCACCCGGCGCCGTAGGCGGGATCCGATGTGCAGGGTTTCTTTCTATTCTTCTAACTGGTAGAGTAATGAAATTTTTCCCCTACAAGAGCAGACTTACTAGGCCAACTCTTGATTTCCACGGGGCGATCGCTAACCCCGGGCTTGGAGCGGGGAGAATCGCCTAGCGACCTGAAAACCAGACGGCGGTGGATCTGGCCCCGGCTCTTAGCTAGGCATCCGGCCGAAACCGGAAACGTCGAACTCCTTCACAGCTTGGGAGGCCCTGCCAGAGTATACACTCGGCTGTGCATCGCAGTTCGACACCCAGTGTCACCCCACGCCACGATGAGGCGGCCGACCATTGTGGGGGCTACCATTGTGGCCGTACTTCAAATTCTATCTTACGAAGCAGAATTTGAAGTACGAAACTATGGAGACGGCATGAATTTCCGTTAGGAATCCAAGCATGAACAACAAAAGTGAATGCTTATCGATAGCGACCGAACTCTTGCCGCATCTGTCGATATGTGAGTTACAGCCTGCACATATATAAAGATCGATCCACTGCTGACTGCTTCACTACCATCGAGTGGATCAGAGGTCAGTTTCCTCACCGCCGTGTGTCTGTGTACGTTGCGCGCTAGACGAGATTTAGACTCGCTGATGTACGGTGTTGGCGTTTGGCGATTTTCTTCTCCCAGATTCAAACTGCAATCTACTTCAGACCTCCGAAGACGACGACTGTGTCGAAGCGTTAGGTCGAATAAAGGTACCACCGTATAAACGTGGGTCCGGCATATCAACAGATAGAATTTTTTTTTTGAAAATGAAGAATTTTTGGGAAAACCTAGTATTTGAAATCTTGCTAAACAGATGCATAGTGACAGATTTATTTTGTGAAGCCAAAAGATAGTGCGTATGGTGTCTCCTTCCCTTCTCCCTTCAAATTTCTCGAGCCGCTGCCTCCCATCCCTCGCTTTCAAGTCTTGACCCGATCGAGATCCTCTTTAGTTTGTAAACTCTGAGCATGGAGGGCCTTGGAAAAGGCTGGTTTACGCCATTTCCATACTATGTATGGCCGATTTTCGGGATTAGCGTCGATTCACCTCGAGTAGGCAAAAAAATGTGTAAAGATTGTCGAGCCACTGCCCCAAATCAAACCCTACTATAGACCCACTTGCTTGATTCAACCACCATTGCTTCTTTGTCTCAAATTTTTTGTAGAGCTACATCTCGAAGTAAGAAACATTTGCAGCGCCTCCGTCCTCTCATCGTTATCTAAGATAACCAATCACGTGATGTTTTTACTTTTGACAGCATTTAGAGTTAATCTGTTCAACAAAAAGCTGGTTTACAGAGTTAACGAGCTTTTTCACATGCCACACAGAAGTCATAAAATCTTGTGAGCTTTCTTATGAGGTGAAGAACGCTCTTAGAAACATTGCGTAATCGTTGATATTGACGAACAGCTGTAAAATCACCATAGAGTAGGCACTTTTATACAAAACTCGATTTTCAATACTCAGGTGCTGGGCTTGATTTATTACCTTGCCTATATGATGGTGCGGTTTTGCGAAACTCTCAGATTGTTGTGATGCAATCGCGCCTTTAAATTTCAAGTTCTTTTTATGAATATTTCCCTGAGCAGTAGATTGGACATAAACCTAAATCTCACTATTCTTCTTCTTTCTTGATAATTAATTTGGAGGACGCTCTTATAGATAAGGGCTTTGAGTAATCGTTAGCGTTGAAGGACAAGCTCTAACATCACTGAGGAATCACGCTTTTACATTCCAAGCTCGGTTTTCAAAAAATTGTACAACAACGAAGTAGTGCGCATAGTCAGAGAAAAATAGCTACACTGGGCATTCTGAATCCGCAAAAATTTATCCTTCAAGAAATGATCAGAGCAACCTGCACAATTACAACTCACGAGGGAAGTACTTTCAATGGCTGTTTGATATGAGATGCATACCAGCTGAAGCAGCTTCGAACGCTGATTTTAAATCTGCCTTCCGTTTCTGCGGAACGTTCTTCTAAAGAGAGTTATGGAAGCCTAAACATCCTATTTTGGGGGCGCTCCTTGAGTTTAAGGGAGTTGTTATGTGCGTTGGTGCTGCAGTAGTGTGATGGTACTTGCTGACATTGAATGCGAGAGGTTGACGGTTCAAATTCGGTAGAGAGAGAGCCATTTTGCATTTTAAATGTGAGTTTAAAAGCACTCTAAATCGTCTGCGGACACTTACTGTAATGCCTTAGCACAAACAGGAGAGAACATCTTTTTGACTAATGGCAGCGTGCAATTTTTGAGCTTTAGGTGACAAACGTGCTACGCCATGTTCGGTCCTGTTTCACTAGTAAGAAAGTCAAATGGAATTTCATCTCTCATTACAAGCAGTTTTGCCAGAAAATTCTTTCTCTAGGTCACTTAAGCCAAAGGCATTACAGTAAGTGTCTGCAGGCGGTTTAGAGTGCTTTCAAACTCACATTCAATAAGCAAAATAGTTCGCTCTCTACCGGAGTCGAACCATCAACCTCTCGCCTTCAATGTCAGCAACTAACCACTGCATTACGGCACCACCAATGCAAATAGCAGCGCCCTCAAACTCAAGGGGCGCCCCCAAAATAGAATGTTTAGGCTTCCATAACTCTCTGCAGATGAGCGTTTCGCAGAAATGGAAAGCAGATTCAAAATCAGCGTTCGAAGCTGCTTTAGATGATATGCATCTCATATCAAAAGGCCACGGGCACTGATAGTACTTCCCTTGTCAGACAACCATGTCAAATTGGAGAACGCTTAAAACTCACAGTCTTAGTTACCCTCGACTAACTCGCAAAACTCATTTTAAATCAGAGAGAGAGAAATAAAGAGATTGAGGTTTATGTCCAATCTCTGCTCAAGGGAAATTCCCACGAAAAGTAATCCAAATCTAAAGGCGTGATTGCATCACAACAATTTGAGAGTTTTCGCGGAACCGCTCATTTAAGGAAAATGATAAATCAAGACCAACACTTCCTGAAAGTCAAACATTGAGTTTTGTAGAAATATTGTTAGTCTTTAGTGATTTTGGAGCTCTTCCGTCAATATCAGCAACTCAAAGTTTGTAAAAACGTTCTTTACCTTATTTATCAAGAAAGCTCAGAAGTTGTCAGACTTTTGCGTGACATGTATAAAAGCTTGTAAACTCAAACCAGCTGTTTGTTGAAGCAGATTGACTTTGAATGTTTTTGAGAGGGAAAAAATTCAGGTGATAGTTTATTCCTCAAATTTTCTTTTAGAGTCAAGGAATGCAAGAAATGCAATGGTGGCTGAAAAAAGCAAGTGGCAGTAGTGTCCAGCCTGATCAGGGCTTTATTGAAAATTTCTTTTTTTACCATTTCAAATCAACGAGATTGGAAGCCGTTTTGATGAATGATGGTAGGCTTGCATGTATACAACGCAGCAAAACTTCAAATGGATCCATTGACAAAAAGACAAGTCATGACGATATCGAGAGTGGATTATAACAGTGTTTAGCACTGTATTGCCCTTCGAAGCTTGAGCTTTTTAGAAAGTAAATGTGAGGTAAACAATGATTCAGTAGTTTTTTCATCAAACACAGCTGTTCTGAAGTACTCAATGGCCATATCTGAGTATCTACACAACACCGATGCTATCTCATAGTTTGGTCTATTTTGTGCCATAATTTGACTAACCGGTCATAGTGTCTTTGATAAGTGCTGGAGAATTTGTTCTGTAATCCTACTGAAGAACAAGCTTAGCAAGGCACTGATCTCAAAATTTTCGGTAGAATGGGCCGAAAAAAAAAGAACTGTCATGATGCGACTTCCTGACAGCTGTTCCTCAGCGTACTTCAACGAGGTCAAAAAAGTGTGGGACTTATATATAGTGCTATGACAAGATTACAATGAATCACCAACCACTATATAACCCTCTCAAATCAGAATCTAGCTTTATATTCATCAGATGTTTTCGTTTGTGCACGTTGTTCTCCTTGTGGCTATCATTGCCCGCACGCAAGCGCTCGAATGTTACCAAGGTAAGTTAATTGTATCAAGTCGTAAACCCACTCGAACAAATAGGCGCAGGCCGTACCATTGAGTCTTGAGATTTTTGCGATTTCAAAGAAATGACCCTGTATAACCATATCTTGGTAAAAGCTCGCACCTAATTCCTTGAAGACAGTCCCGACGAAATTTGCACTTCCACATTTCTGCACGTCTCAGGGCTTTTCGACACGTAGATTTTGATTTTGAGCTTTGAACCAATGAAAGACCGTTTTTGGAGCGTTTACCCACTTTATAAAAGTCGAGACACACGAGGGTTTCAATGAAAGTTGGGAGACTCTGCACGAAGACCCTGTCGCCTGTAGTTTTTGCTTTGGATAGCATGCACCGGGCGGGAGCGGTCATGGGGTCTCGCACCGAACAGGTAATCGAAGCCGTCCGAGCGCATGCTGGTCCGGCGAGGAACATCAATCAGCCGGACTGAGAGTAGAGATAAGTGGGGTAACCACAAACCCCACCATAGCTATCTCCCCAGGGTGCGAATCTGCCAGGACACTGTCTTTAAGACCGTCTTTTTGAATACTCACAACGAGTTATCTGCTCCGCCGCAGGTTCAATCACGTCGGTAAGGAAGCGTTTCTCTGAAAAGACGTATAGAAAATTGAAAATTGAAATTCCGAGTCTGAACCTCTTTGAATGCAATCTAACTAGGAAATGGCAACTGATCTGTCCCGAAGGAAGATGCATGTCACCAGACGCGCCTTCAAACGGTAACTCCAAATCTGCTTTTCTTTTCAACGAAACAACTCTACGAAAGAAAACATAAGCTTTTGGAAGTCTAAGTCTTAAGTGGCATAAAAGTAGCAAAAATCTTTCAAAGACACCTGCAAGTGGGTAATCAATTTTGTATCACGTATGCTGACTAGAAGGAAGGATCACAGTCAAATAATCCGCATAGATAATTTTGTACACTCTGATTTTACGCCACTTGAGGTTTGAGAAATTCGAGTGAAATGATCTTAACTTCTTTCGAAAAGTTGTTCACAGAAAAAGAAAGCAGATTTGAAATCAGCATTTGAAGGCGCGCATCATGGTATATCTCTTTGCAGTTTATCAGATCTTCTTGGTGCTTTTCACTTGTAAGTAACACTTTCCTCTGCTTGAAGACCCGAACAAATCGGACTTGGCAGTGGTCTGAAAAGATACTCTTAATAATATCCAAAATCTAGTACCTCAAATTTGGTGAGGCACAACCTTTGAACGTCGGCAGATCAAAGGGATGAAAAAAAAATGTCATTTTTTATGCCAAAGCAACGAAACGAAACTAAAAATGTGTGAGGGACGCTATTCGATAGGCAAGGCAAACTTCGAAAGATAACCTTTGAGCATCTTTGTGCGTCGTGATCTAACAAGAATTGGATTTAATCCATTAAGAAATTTATAATGTTGAAAATCAGATCTTTGCCCCTTATTCTGCAAGCTTCTACTTACTACTGCATAAGCAAAATACGCCCTCATCTCACTCGCAATCTTGAGGAAAATGAAATGCGGAAGAAAAAACTCCGCGTTTAGCAATACTGGATTGCTCCCATATATGCAATTGCGGACCATCAACCCTCACAACTTCTTCCTTGAAATTTTGGCTTTCAAATGCTCTAGTTCCAAAGAAATATCAATTTTAGACGAGAAACCCCGAAAAGGCGACATTTTCTCTTTATTTTTTCATTTTCATTTTCTCTAGACAGTTTGAACACATCAAAAAGACGGCTATTACTGCTTACCTGGCATAACTTCTTGACGAAACCAACAACTTAGACTAGCATGAGAGTTTTCAAATTGTTTTCTTCTCTTTCTGAGGCCCAAACCCTCTTCAAAGCTCTTTCCGTTGTCCTACAGTGAGGAAATGCGATCGATGATCCCTTTCACATGCAAATCCAAACTGTGGAGGTAGGCAAAAGGCTTCGGAAAAGAGATATGAGCGATCAAACGGCGGGATCATACTTTTGGGGTATCCCTGTATTACGCATCTCTTTCTTTCTCCAATTGCAAATTACAGGAGTTGCATCCGGTTATTCCCCAGTGACAAGACAGCAGTGCCCACGCGGAGCGGGATTTTGTTATACGTATGATTTACCCAACTTTCACATAAAGCACCTTATTGACGTTGCATATTTAGAATCACTCTAAACTATGCCCCAAAAAGATACGGCTGTGGCTTCGGATCATGCAAGGTAAGAATCAATCGTTTGAACGTGTGATAATCAGTCACTTCCTTCCTTGACGTCCAAGAACTCATTCGCTATTCGTAGGGTTGCTCGGTAGAAAAGAGAGTCCAGCTACGTACTTGAAATTTTTTTATAGGAAAAAGGCTGCGAAGCACTCGGCGATTACGGTATGGGCACGATATGCTGCTGTGCTTCTAATCTTTGCAATAGAAACTAAACAAATGAGACATCCACAAGAAGTTGCACCAGTAATCTCCAAATTTTGGGCTTTTATTCTGGGCGGAATAAATTCGTTTGCAGTGTATTTTAGGACAGACTAATCAATCTGTTTTAATCGCAAGTCTTTTAGAAGCATTTCACAGGGGTACACTTAGAAATGACAAGCTTAGCACTCACACTTACCTGGCGTGCCGAGACATTTCAGGCAAAGAAGCTCACCAGAACACGTCCGATGTAGAGAAGATGGTAAGAGCATCCATTTTATCGAAACGACTTTGTTAACACGTTTTTGAATCGATTTTCATGTGAAGAAATTTGCTTAGAAGGAAGAAATTAGAGTCATTTTTGTTGAATTTTATATATAAAGCTGAATGTCTGTTTGTCTGTCTGTCTGTCTGTATGTCTGTACGTATGTTCCGAATAGAAAATTCCATTTCTGAACCGATCCGGACCAAACTTGGCACACATACACTTCGGGCCCCGGCGGGTGTCATAGGCTACCTTTCGTCATCGATCGATATCGATTTTATCGATTTTTGCAAAATTTGAGCTACGGGGCTGGGAGTTGGTACAGGGGGTAATCGAGCATGCTGATTACGAATAAAATAATGACAGGGTCCGGGCGGAGCCGGGTAAGCCATCTAGTGTAAAATAAGATCAAGCTGATGTTTTTTAGGAATTACTATAACGAGATTGTAGTTCTCGATGAGCTCAAATACTTTGAAACCCATGTTTTCTACAAATGCAATGTGTGCATTGTAGCTCTTGAAAAGCTCTATCATCTCATGCATCCGACCATTTTTTCATTTTGTTTTCCATTTAAAAATGAGCGGTGAAAAAAGGAAGGAGGCTAGTTCGCAACTTCTTGGCGGTCTTTGTATTCCCCATACCGGTTTCAGTCTGAAAATGCTGTGGTGCTTGGTGTCCCCCACCAGTTGCTGACACAACTTCAAAGTAAATCGGTGCAAAAAATAGTTGAAATTGTCAAATTTGCACTAACAAGGAAAGGATACTCGGTCACCGTGGCCATTTGGAATGCGATGTATACTGTAAGATGCATCTCGAAACGCTGATTCCAAATCTGTGCTCGATATCTGCGAAACGATCTTCTGAAGGAAGTTGTGAACTTTTTTTTTGTAGAAAATTTGCGTACTTTCGTGTAGTTAAAATCACCAAATTTGTTCTAAATTACCATTTGAAGCTACTATAGAGAATCTTAAAAGGAATACTGTTGTATTATACCTATCTAAATCATGTTCAGCATTTGAAAAGGAAAGAAAATTTTTATTGATGATTTTGACCCTCCGCAGTAACGCAATTTATTCATGGAAAAATAATCATAACTCCTCCAGATTATCGTTTCGCAGATATGGAAGACAGTATTCGAACCAGCATCAAAAGGCGCATTTTTTGATATACAAATCATTATGAATGGCTGCGGTGACCAGGTATCCTTCCCTTGTAACTTATGACTATATCGCTAGATAATGTCTAAGGCAGTGTCTTGGCAGAATTTCGTTCACTTTCTCATTTTTTCGGAGCCTTCTCGCCATAAGAAATCCACATCTGGGCTTATCAACGCATGAAAATAATAAAAATGAGTTTACCCGAAGCTTTCCAGGTCCGCATTCAGTGAAGATACACTTATTGTAAACCTGGAAAGCTCCGAAAAAAAGCTCATTTTCGCTTTTATGCGCTGAAAGTCCCAAATATGGGTTCCTTATGGCGAGAAGGCCCGAAAAGGCGATCTAGAAAAAGAGATTCTGCCGAGACGTTGCTTTGAGAAGCTGAGTCAGGGCCATTTGACTAATTCAGCTATGAAGCGTCCCAACGGCTTTTTCATGCACCTGATACCTGGCATTTGCAATCGTGTTGAGATCACAAGTATTTGGTGTCCGCAAATCTAAATGATGTGCGGGTATCTTCATTACACAGATGTCTGGGTCTTGACTAAACCCAGAGTTGTGGCGTAACCTTCTCCAGACCATGGATCCAACTCTCTTTGTCTAAACATAGTAAAGCGAATTAACGAATGATAAATGTTACAGTAAAGGTGTATCATTTGATTTCCCACGTCAAAATGAATGTTGCTAAGGCTGTTGAGGGATAGTCCATACAGCAATGGTATGTCACTTATGATCCACCTTCTGTTGTCCAGTGATACTTGCGATTTCGCCAATACTTTTTATTCTACAGTTGAAATGTTGAACATACTGTAAAGGTTGCATTGCATTGCTCTATTATTTAGTAAAGCTGTGGAGTTTGTCTGATACTCATCCCAGAAGAAATCATTTTTGCCTCCTATTGAGCACATGTCTATAACGATCTCGCTGCACTCCCAAAGCAAAAAAGTAGCGATCAAAATGAGGCGAAAATACTCGAATCAAAAGGGAGGGATATCAAACAAGTTTTTGCAACACGACTAAAGTACATTTGCAAAATGTAGACATAAACCTTCTGCAGATCTCATCCTAGCTCACCTGATGCAGCACTAAGTTAACCCTACAGCGCGTTAGCCAGTTATAAACAAAGCTAATTTCCTAAGCACTGATCGCTTTGTCGACATTCTGCCGTCTCCCTAAAATAGACAGCTTTACCATCCAAGGTATTGTCTAATTTGAACCTGCGGGAATGATGGTTGCGTAAACCACATAATAGTCAGCACAACCACAGTTCGGCAAATTAATAAGGCTAAATATTGTGGGCTAATTTGCAGCAGAGTGCTTCTGCCATCAACATGAGTTTTAAAAAAGAGAAGCCCAATATGGAAACGACGGTTTTCTCACGATGCAAGGCGTCTTGAGGTGTTGACCTCGGCACCATCACTTGCCGCGCTATCCGGCGGCTACCGTAATCCGTATCCGATTACGGTAGCCGTTACGCGTGTACCGAAACTGCCTGCTGCCTCTCCTTTGCTCGGCGGTTATATGAGACGGCAGCGCCTCTAATCAGCGCTTGTTTGACTTTTGTCTTTTGCTATTGAAATAAATTTTAGCTTCGTGATATCTCCTGACCTTTGAAAGAAGTTGGGGCGGATGACTTTCGCAGTCCTAGATGTTTGGGATTGGAAGATATTCTGTAACAAATAGTGATTAATATTTTCTTATTATTAACATGGTTCCAAGAAAATGAAAATGAAAGAAAAAATCCTCCGAAGGGTTTGGAGGATTTAGACGACCTCTCCAAAATCTAGCCCATCTTCAAACCTGGACGGTTATTACCGGAAGATCCATGAAGAATTGGGTCAAATTTGGCGTTTGCCCCAGTTTGAAGAAGTTTTTTTCTGAAAAACTACCAAGCCGCTACATCTAAACTAAAGCCGTGTAATCAGTTTCTTTCATTGTTAATGAAAAGATGGAGTAAAACTTTTGGCGATTTTTTAATGCCGTGCAAAAATCGTGCAGAATTTCGAAGTTCTGAGCTCTTATTTTAATTATTTACAGGAATCTAGATTTTCAACTGTAAGTTTTAGGCTTTTTGTTGTGTTTGAAAGTTTTCCTTGGAGTAGCACCCGAGCAATTACTCTTCCATTGCACATAGTCCTTTGAAGTGCTGGATTGACTACAAGCGAAATTCAAAAAGTGGAATTTTAGTAACAAAAATCGACGAAATTCTATTGTTTCTGAAGTGAGTGGTTTCCAAAGTGCAAAACAGAGAAGTGGAAGATTTGAGCGGCAGTTCAAATGCCTCAACTCAGCTACTTCTCTGGTCGCGGTCATCTGGTCATCTGTCATCCAGGCAGAGTGTCAAATCAACAAAAAGTGTTCGGGTTATCCTATTCCTCCAATGGGATAAGACTTCGTTCGAATGACTATACTGACTCGTCCGTGCCAAAAAAGTTTTAAAAATCTGTAAAAAAAAAACTCAATTATCAAATCTGTGTTTGTTAATACTAAGCCATGGACTTCAACGAAGTGAATAAAAATGAAAGTTTTGAAACAAAGAGGAAATTCATATTTATTCCGAAAGACCCGTGCACAATGGAAACGAAGAAGAGCTGGCATCGAAACGACAGATGACTGCACTTAGCAAAGAACGCAAGAGCGCAATCGCCATAGCAGTAAGAAAATTGAAAATGTTGAAAAAGGAGTTCTTAGAGTGAGAGATGTAGGCTAAATTGTTGGCTGTTTAGGTTTGTAGGGAGGTTATAATACGGTTACTGAAGAAAAAACAAGAAATCTAGGCCGATCTTAACAATTTCACCCCCAAATCATTTTGGTGCCAGCCGTGATCGAAATCGTTATGAGAGGTGCAAAACGCTTTTAAAGAAAAGATGTGAGCCATAAATGTTTGAGCCGGAAATCTTCTCTCACTTCAGGATTCAACACCAAGACTTGCACAGGACTGAAGTTTAGTTTGGATGCAAAATTTCTCAAAGTGAATTTTGGAAACATTTTTCCTTCGCCAAGTTGTTATAGCTTTTTGATTTGCTGAAAAGGGCACTATGGTGCTAAGATTTACCAGAAGTCGTCGATACTTCACAATTTGGTCATTATATCAGGTAAAATAAATTCAGTAATATGGTTCACCACATTTTTTTAACCTATTTAGAACCTGCAGCTTTAACTGATTGAGGTGTAATTTTAACCCCCAAAAGTCTACGGAAAGGTGCGCTTAGGTTTGAAAGCATAAAGAATATAGAATGACATTTGAACAAGCATGATGTGTAGTCTTCATTCAGTAGCGGACCAAGGGGGAGCCCTGCCCAAAACGGGTCGCAAAATTCTAGTGGCCCACAGCGTTATAAGATTGCGCAAATGACTTGTTTTCACTTGCAAATTTGGATAAGTTTTCGAATTCAAAAAATCATATGAGTTCTGGGAAATTTTTTTGGGGGCGCGTTCGCTACCACGCCTCTTTTTTTGAACTTTCTAGATTATAGATTGAAAAGTTTCGGAAAGCATCCCAGAGCGCGTGAATGATGCCATTCCCCTTCATTCAAAAACATTATTTGCCAAATCACCGAAAGTGATTTCAAATTCTACCATACAGAATCGAGAAATTATATTCTTCCTCTCTTTCTTTTTCTATTTTGATGATTCCAATTCTCCAATTAAGCCTTGTCAAGAAGAACAGCCGAGT